TTTGGAGGACTAGTTGTTAAGGCATGTGAGTTTAAGAAAACAGAGAAGGAGGAAAGACAAAAGGAATCTGTTAACACGGTGATTGCGGCAAACATATTTGAATAAGCTCACTCTCACCGGTCGTTGGCGCTTCGATTCTTGTCAGCTTTGCGAAGGCTTGAAATAGATGGCGGCCCTTGGTCCCTAGAAGGAAGAGAAAATGGTCCTCATTCCTGAAGGTGACAACAATAAAACAGCTGAGTTTTTTACTTCTCCCATGATTTTAAGATTAAACCTACCAATGAGTCTGGCTAACGTGCATAGCATTAAGTTCCTCTAAATACGCACGATCTGAGAGTGACAAGCTTCTGGGCGCGGCCCAGGGGGCCGAAATATTGTTCTGAAAATAGGCTTGCGGCAGAGCATGGAGAGCTCCCTGTTCTAAGCATTAGGCATTAGCTCACTTTCCGATAACCAGGACTCTGCATGATCGTTCCGCTCTCTGGTCATATGCATCAAGTAATTCTCATACTTGATTTAAAAAAAAAAGATTATAAATTTAAAATTTAACTTTTGATTGACAAATCCCGAGTGACAATCTCATGAAATTTGAAATTAAATTTTCATATTACTTCTAAATAAAAAATAAATGTTACAAATAGGTTGATGAAATGGTACAAAATCAATAAACAATATTCACACGTTCTGTTGGTAACAAGAAATCAGAGCCATACCCACAGGATTGAAGCTCGGAGCAACAAACCCTTCCACCAATCTTTAGGGGAAGGTTAAGTCAAGATAGAACCAATTGCTGGCTCAAAATAAAGAAGTGGCACGCACATTCGGTATATTGCCAAACAACTTGACAGTTTGGTTGATGGGTTTATCGAGCCCTCTATAGCCTCTGGGTGTCCTTCAGGCGATTCTTTGCAAGTTTGGCTCCATTTTTCTTGCCTGTGGGAATGGATTTTATAAGGACAACAGATGTGCTTCCCTTTCCTGATTTACGAGGTAATCTGGAGAAAGGAAACCTGGATGATATTAAATTTAAGCACAAAGTATATCAAATATATTAAAATAAAAATGAAACTGCAATAATCTGCTAGTCTGCTTGCCTCTTTCTAAGAACTTGGGTAAGATCATCAGGTGTCTCGTTGCAAACTAGTTCCCCTTTGTCACCTGGAGCATTCTGCCCCTTGCATAAGCAGATGAAAATATAAACAAGTAAGAATCACTCCTGTCAATAACCTGTTTATGGTAACACTGCTGAAAATGGAGGCATTCTACCCCCGCTCTGGATGATCACATATAATGTTAACATGCAAGGAGGAATTGCAATCTCACTTACACATAAAGACTGCAGAAATATTGTCAAAATAAGCCCACATTTGAAAGCAAAAAAGTGTTTATCAGACAGGAAAAGCACACAAAGACAACAACCTTATTCCATTGATGATTCAACTGAAGAAGAATAAACAGTCTCTTGCTAAAAATTTTTAAAAAGGAAAAAGAAAAACAAAAAGAAGAACAAAGAGTTCAAGTCGAAAGTCATTTACGAGAAGGATTTGAAAAAAAAAAAAAGGTTAGTTCCATCAAAGGAAAAACTGAAGATCAAACAAAATGCTTCAATAGAACAGGCAATGGAACTTAAAATATAACTCAATAAAAAGTAACTGAAATTCTGGAAAGTCGAATTCATAATAATATACCATCCAAGCACTGCAAAAATATGATTTTCAATGCTCAGTGAAAAAACTTATTATTGCTAGCCTCTAGATCTCTGGAAAAAATTGTCTAAGCAGATTTGCACATCAAAACAGCACAATTATTGCAACAGGCATAAATAGCTCATATTTTATTCACGTGCATGGAGAAATTTAAAGGAAGCATCTCCATGTAACAGAAGCTCTATCAGAAGTAGCTTAATAACCAAACTGCTATCAGTGACTTTCAGAGTGCAGCAAATGATAATTGCAGCTATCATCTCTGTTGTCACTCACAAAACCAAAATTATATCATTTACACCCTTAGAAAATCTAAATCTTCCAGTCACTTTGAGCACCATTAGTTTTCCTAGTACTCAATGTAGGGAGCTGTGTTTTGATTATAATCACCAAACATCGAACTATAGATTATCCCCATAAATTCTAACAAAATAATGAATGAAGAGCATTCAACAAATAAAATGATCAGATTCAAGGTCAGCTGCTGAAGCATAAAAACCAAATTCGATTTCCTTAAGCAGAAAAAATAGCATTTAGGAACAACTAAAAATAAGCAGCATTACGTATAGCCAATCACTCCAGACAGAATTCAAGAAAGAGTATATCATATCAAGCCCCAGTTCTTGATTTTAAAAAAGTAACATGTTAACACAAACAGAAGCTAAAAGTAAGGTATTCAATGTCTAGAAGAGCTTAAAACAACATCCGCACTGTCATAATTGAAATCAAACTCAGAAATGCATACCAGAACTGAATTCACTTGTGTGCAATCTTACTATCATTACCAATCTAAGTCAACATACATAAATGACTTTGCCAGTCGTTAATTTACATAAACAATATGACCCCACACTTCCAAAGCCAACAGAAAGTGCAAAAAGCAAGAAAGAATATCTTCTTATACATGCAATACTGAAACCTGCAATCAAAAACTTAAAACAGAATGGTACGCCGTTAAGGACTAAACTCTTGAAAAGCTCAATGCATACATGCCAAGGCAACTATTTAAATCTGAAAACCAAGATAATAGCTACATAAATAACGGTTGTTAATTGAAAAAGAATTATAAGCGACATTTCGGACATGTAATCTTAAATCTTACATGATTTGTAAGCGACCCAGATTCCTTTCCACTCGTATCTGTCAACGACCGAAGCTCCGAACTCGAAATCTTTCGTTTCTTATTCCAAACACCAACATTGTTGTCATCATATGAAGGAGGAGGAGGAGGGGGAGGTGCTTTCCTCTTCTTTCTTCCAACGATGCGTGACTTTCCTTTCTTGTCCTTAACTTTCCAGATATTTTTCCTCCTAAATATAAGCTTGTCAACTTTCCAAACATCGCAGCTCGTGTCTATTACCGTCACTTCACTTCTCGAATACCCTAACAGTTCCCTCTCTCCTTTCTCCTTCTCTTCGTCTTGTTCTTCTTCTTCCACGTTATAATCGTCGCCCTCTTCTTTCCATTCTCTCTTCGCTTCTTCCTTTGAATTCAACGACGTTGTTGAAGCGGGGATATTTTCGTCTTTTCTTACGCTATCCGAACTGCTTTTCTGTTCCTCGGAGGTATTAACGTTAGACGTCTTGATAATGCAAATCTTAGGGTTTGTTTGTTTCCTGGAAGTTTTTTTCCTGGAAAATCTGGAGGTTTGGGCTTGGTCGCCCATGTTGAAGAGCTCCGAGAGGACATTGCTCATTATACCGAACCATTCTTTGTCCCCGGCGGGCTCGCTGGAGACCACCTCCGGGGGCGGTGCCTTCCTATTCTGGAGTTCTTTATCGTTGGAGTGAGTTGACTCGGTGTTGGAATTTGGAGAATTGGAAGCATCGGTGATTGGAGAATCAGAAGGGTTAGGGTTAGTGAGGAAATGGTCGAGGTCAAGGTTGTCGCCGGTTGGGAAGCCCTTGCTGGAACGAAGCCGGTCCAGCCAGTTCGAACCGGACTTGCCGGTCGAGATTGAGCAGAGCATTTGGTGACGTCAGGCAGAGCAGATTGGCGTGACTCTTGAGAAAGCGAGAAGAGGGAAAACAAAATGGAAAATTTGGGCTCGTCAGTGAACTGTACTGAAACGCAGCGGCCATCGTTTCGTACTCGAAGGAGGGGTAGTTCTAGATTGCGCACGGGTGCGCGATGCGCACAATACGCTCTCAACCACGTGTCGCTTCATGAAACCCTCCCCCTTTATAAAAGTCGAGTTCAACTTCGACCCGTGATTCACGTTTACGATTAGAAAGGCCTGGGCCGCTTTACTGATGGTTGGGTCCACATCACAGCCCAATCTGAAAGCAACATCCCTTTGGGGCCCAAGCCCGAGGATGTTGAAAGTTCCAATCCAAAATTCGTTTGCTTCTAAAACTCCAAGCCTATGCAACAAATCCAGCTCAATTAAGGTAAGGTTAGATATCTCTATTAGCTTCCCTTAATAGATAAGAAATCGACAACTCACCTTGTATAATTATCACTTTCTAAGATCAGCATAATAAATCTAGAATGAAACTTCACATATTTGAATATTAAAATAATTAAGATTCAAATATTATGTTACTTTTATCACGTTACTATTTATCGTTTTAAGAAATAAACTTTGAAATTTTAATTTATATTAAAAAAATAATTATGTAAATTAATACTGCATTCTTAATAAAATATTTTAAAATCAAACACTATAACATGTTTTTTTAATATTTTTATTAGTACTTTTTTATATATAAAAAAAATTATAATATTATTGCTTCCATGCTCACTTATTTCAACAACCACATTTCAATAAGACATCAACCGGCACCGAATATAAAGATAATATTTGAAAGCAAAGTTCCCATAAGAATAATACTATTTTTCTTTTGGTCAATAGCTAATTACTTTTTACAATATATTTTGTTGCCTTTTCTTTTGATTTTTTGTTTATTATGCATAAAGAAACTTACTCAAATTGAACTTTAGTGAAAAATAAAAGGTTATGGTATAAACCAAGCTTTTCTGATGTTTTTAACCACGAACAAATGTACTAATATGTTCCTACTTTTAGAAGGCATAAATTCCTTTAAATGGGTGGAAGGTGATGAACCTGGTTTTTCCTTGTTGCTTAGCCGTAACATCCACGCCTTTCGCAGCACACTGAAAAGCCGCTAAAACCCAAGTTCAGCGTTGGGCATTGTAAGAGGCGTGACGACAGCAGCTTTCCAGAGTCCAGTCCTCTTTAACCTTTGATTACGTCGTGAATTTGCAAACGAAGCGCAAAGCATTGAAAACATCCCAAAAATACAAAAAAAAAAAAAGGAAGGGAGTCCTGCGGGTTTGTACTACATTCATTCTCCACCAATGTTATTACGGCCAATACCGATCACATATTTTAGCCCTTTTGCCTGAAGAACGCAAGGACAAATTCCCCTCCGCCATCAAATTCCCAAACTCTCCTTAAAAACGACATCGTTCACATTCTGACGACGTCATAATCAAGAGCCAGCTTAAACTCCTCTCTTTCAACCGCTCATGTTTTTATCAACCCCACAAATTCGTCTTCTCCCTTCCTTTGCCGCCATATCTGAACGTCTCTGATTTTTCTCCTTCCTTATCCCTTTGTTTTCCCTAAAGCTTCTTCTCCTTGGGTTATCTTTATAATTTGTTTGACTACGGATTAATGTTTCAATCTTTATACTAATCTTTAACCGGGATATTGATACTATTGGACGAATGTGTACAGAGATGATGGTGTATATGGGTCCTTTATGGATAGCGTTTTTAGTAGGAATAATAGTTGGTTGGGCTTGGAAGCCAAAATGGGCAAGCCAGGGAACGCAAAAATTGAGTCGTGCTGTATCGAAATCATTGGAATTATCGTTGCCTCCATCGCCTTCTAAGTCGCCTATGTCCCCTTTGAAAAGTTTTGGTTCGGCTCCATGTTTGAACTCCTTGAAAACGCAGGCACAAGCTTCTGAATATTGGGTCATTAATGATGGAGCCCATGGGAAACGCCCTCTGTTTCTCTTTCTGAATATGACAATTGCAGGTACTTGGATAGTTTTGTGTGTGTGTGTTGATACTAATATTATTAATTGTTTGTTCTTCAAATTGTATGCTGGAACATGTTTCTTTGATTGAGCAAAGGTAAATGGAGACATTTAATGACAAAAGTTTGGATTGGAGCAAGTTCCTATTTTGTTGATTGTACTTTTTCTTTTCTTGTTCTAGCACATTCCTCACATCACAGCTTAATGAAGGACGTTCAAGTGTTGTAACAGAGGAAGATTTAAAGCATTTATGGCAGCTTGTTGAAATGAGGGATGGAGGTCCTAGCTGGATACATATGATGGATCGTTCTACTCCAAATATGAGTTACCAAGCATGGCGGAGAGATCCAAAGGTAGGATTTTTCTCTTCTATTTGTTTCATAAGTGAAGTCAACTGTGTGTATGTGACATTATGTTGGTGGAGATGCTTGATTACTAATCGTTTTCTATTTACATGGGTTTATTAGACTGGTCCTCCTCAGTATCGTAGCAAAACTGTCTTCGAGGATGTAACTTCAAAGATGGTGAGGGACTTCTTCTGGGATGATGAATTTCGACCAAAGTGGGATGATATGCTTGCATATTCTGCAACCATAGAAGAGTGTCCTACAACAGGGACCATGGTTGTTCAATGGATAAGAAAAGTGAGACTTGAGACTTTCTTTTATTTGCCTAGCCTGATAGTCAATAGATTGCCTTGCAATGCTTATACTAACTTTTTCTAATTCTTTGTGGCTCAGTTTCCATTCTTTTGCAGTGATAGAGAATACATAATAGGTCGACGGATATGGGAATTGGATGGGTCTTACTACTGTGTGACAAAGGTATGGAAAATGTTAATGTGTTTGCCTAATGTAAAACTCTAAAACTAGCAACAAAACATGCTTTCTGGTTGGAACTCAAGTCAACAAATTACTTACACAATTTCGCGGGGGCTATTAATGGTCTGGAAGGATAGAATATGGACAACTGATAAATTAAAAAAAAAAAGAAGAAGCAAATTGACAACAGAGAACCCTGTCGATTGTGATGAAAAAGAGTGCTTCTGATTAGTTTAGCAGATGATCAGTCCAGTTGGCTGTGTGTGAATTGACTTAATTGTTTGGACAAGCATAAAATGGGATAAAAACTTTAGCGGAGATAACGCTAAAGAACTTAAAATGACAGTAGAAGTGTTATTAATGAAAATTATCCTTCTTTTCTCAACTAGCAAATACTAATAAGATCTCATCTTTTGGGTTTCATTTACATTGGCCATATTTATTGTTATGCTTTCTTGGATTTTTTCCAACTCAAATGACTTTGTTTCAGGGAGTTTCCTGGCCTTCTATCCCTCGGCAGAAGAAACCAAGACGTGTGGACCTATACTATTCAAGTTGGTACATTCGAGCAGGTATTTGATGCCACTCTTTGTTCTTTCAGTCAATCCATTATTTTAACTTAAAATTGCCCCTGAGGCTTTGCAATCAAAGCACACTGGATAATAAAGCTGCGATTAGCATAATCTTTGGAGCAAAAACTTGTAGAAAGTTTCTTATTACTATCTAATAAGTAGTCCAAGATCCACTAGAGTTGACTGAATGAAAACTAAATTTTCTCATCATACATCCAGTGGAATCAGAAAGAGGACATGGTCAACGGAATGCGTGCGAGGTGCTACTCTTCCATCATGAAGATATGGGTATCCCATGGGAAATTGTAAAGCTTGGTGTACGACAGGGAATGTGGGGAACTGTCAAGAAAATTGAGCCTGGGTTACGTGCTTATCAAAAAGAAAGAGCATCTGTAGCACCACTCTCTCACTCTGCAGCTATGGCTCAAATTAACACCAAAATAAATACCGAGTACCTGAGATCTTTGGAAACCAATGAAGATTTATCAAAGTCTGAGATAGCTGCTACATCTGAAAAACCAATGGCTAAGAACATCTCAAGGCTCTTATTTCTTGGCGGGGTAATTGTTCTTGCTTGTAGTCTTGACCATGGGCTGTTGAGTAAGGCATTTATCTTTGGCGTGGGTAGAAGGCTAGCAAACAGGGGAAAGAGATTGTGTTCGAGTGTTGGGAGAGCGAATTACATAGGCTCATCTTTTTGAATGGGACAGCAGGTTTCTTGATATACTAGAGGGTTGAGATGTATATTTATACTCACTTATATGTATATTTTGAACTTGACAACCAATGAATTCATATTCCTAAGGTAATAGAGCTGTATGGCTGTACATAATCACACCCAAAATTTTCACATGAAAGCTGCCTAGTTACTGGCACCTTACTTTTTATTTGTTATGCTCATGCAGTTTCATTTGGGAAGAGGATAAAGTCTTGTAACTTGGTAACATGGTTTATCATCTTATACTATTAATTTGGATTCAAAGGGACTTTTGAAAATACTGAATTTGATGCCGTCATGATAATTGACCTATGCTGAAGGTTTTGCCTGTATGCTCTGTGCTGTTCTATTCTGCTTGTATTTTTGTTTAATAAAGACACAGCCGTGTTCTTCCAATTTGGTTTCCTTGGGAATCACTATTTTCATCTATTTATTTCCTCCATCCCAATGAATTTCAGAAACCATCATGATCAAGCTGATTAGGCATTCCACGGAGGAATTAGGTACGTTTTCACAAATTCTATGCTGATATGCTTCAACAACATTTTCTCAGAATTGTGTGCATCATGGTTGATCTGTACATAAGTAAAATTCCTTCCATATTTCCATGTTTCATTTGGAGGCTAGTTCCATGCATGTAGAGCTTACAGGAAGGGCTTGTATCTTATCTGGAATGCAAGATACAATATCTATGAACCTAAACGGCGAAAACTTGCCATCTGGTGCTAGATATATATACAGTCTAACAGGACATGTTTATGTATTTCTTGGTTAATTTAGGTAAGTAACGAAATGAACCAATATAATCTTTGCAATCCTTGTTGGAAATATTATCACATTAGTCTAATCTGTATCCAGAAATATGCTTAAGTAAAATATGGAAAGGAGCAGATATCCTGACAACAGCCATCAATATCCTTGGCACGAACCTCCAGCAGCAGGATATGCAGCTAACGAAGCACTGAAGCAGATTAATTAACATTAACAACCGACCAAGGTTTCGAAACAGTGCAATCCGTCAAACTGTGGAGCCACCTTTGGTTGCTGCGTGGTCTTCAGCTTTTGCCTTGGTTTTGCCATCATACTTCCGATGGATGACCGAATCCCACCTCCAAATTCCTGAACAAGTTTAATCCAAATTTAGAATGGTAGATATTTAAGTGAACAAAAAATTTAGAAAGAAACGATACTGCGTCGGATGAGGAAAGGGGTGCTATAGTACAAAGAGGGGATAATTACCTCGGCTCCTGAATGACGATCAAAAGAATAAATCCCGACTGCAACAGCAACTACAGATGGGATTGCTGCATAGATTGTAGCCACCGCCATTTGTCCGCGTCTGAGAAGCTGCTTAAGTTTTTAGATGATGGAGAAGAAAGAATTGGGTTTCTAATGATAAATAAACTTCTCTTGGGGGGATATAAAAGCAAAGCAAGGAATGTGGGCGCCTTGGTGATGAAGAGAAGTAAAGAATGAGTAAATTGGGAAAGAAAAGAATGATTATTACCCCTTGCCTTGGAGTGTTATAGGGTTATTGTATTTACAAAAGAAGACATATCGATACAACCACTGCTTTTTTATCTTTACATATCCACAAAGGAGAAAGCCGATCATCCGTTGGATAAAAACTCAATGGTAGCATATCCAAAACCAGAAGGGGACCGACTCAAATTGTAGCTTAGATATTTAAGACATAAGAGTAAACAATTGTTCCACTTTTTATAGAAGCTAATAGTCTAAAATGATTGACTAATAAAGTTGGAGGAAGTAAGGAGATTATCCTATCTAGTTTCCAGGCTATTGCAGCAGAAGCTTAATGGAATGAAAGTAAGCCTCGTCATGTGGAGCGTGCCGACCTCATGTATGCCTTTTGCGTCATCATCTCCCTATCCTTCTCACACGGGCTCTTAAAGCAACTTGCAAATCCTATATAAAATATATATTGTGTAAAAAAATTTCCGGTGATAATTGTTTCCTATGGTAGCTTGGTAAGGTAAGAAGTGTTGATGACTAATCACAATGCCTAATACATCTTTAGAGTTGGGTACTTGTAACATTCATTTCCTTTCAAAGAGAATTAGAGCCAGAGGAAATGAAAAACGTGATACAAGAAGAATCGATTGAGTGATATATTGTCGTTTTCAGTTTGAGCTCTAATCAATGGTCCTTTCAGTGTAAGGGCACTTTACGAAAGAGACAAAAGAAATGACTTTGTATTTCTTTGAACGAAAGAGAATGGCTCGATATAAAAAACGTGATCGTAATTAAGTTTGATATGAGCTGACAGTGAACACAGCAGTTCTAAACAAATTTTCCACTCGATTCTTAACAAAACAAAGCATAATTAATTTTGAAAACTCAATGGATTAGTGCGAACTTGATCAGGTTATAAATCTAAATTGGAGAAAGTGGATCAAGTTGGATTTTGATGGACTTTTGATGTCTAAAAGCTTTTTAATTAGAATTAATGTCTCTCTGATTAAGTTTTATCTCCCTTTGCTCTTGATTTGTCACGACAATAAATCAATCATTTATTCCGGGGTTAGGAATTGCACAAAATTTGGTGGGACACCCAAGACTGCTGATCACGTTGTTGCTCACATTAAGAAATACTGTGAAAATGAAGAAGAAGACTTGTACTGCCGAAAGACTTGTGAAACAAATTTGGGTGATCATCAAACTGTAGATGTGTTGTAAAGTAATTTTCTCAGTATGGGATAATTGTCTCGAAACAGTGAACTCCGTCGAGCTCCACCGCAAACCTCGGCCTCAAAAGTTGTTGAGGTTTCTTAATGTTAGCCGGCGATGATGAGTTATTGTCTGTCTCTTTCTCGCTCCCTTCTAGGCAAGATACTTTCTTCGGTTTCGCTTGTTCGGTGGAGGCGGTGAACTTCATCTTCTGGCCATAAGAATCAGCCCAAAGGGCTTCGAACGAACTGAACAGAGACATCATCGTCGTCAGCAACGCCCAACCGTTGCTTCAAACTTAAAAAGAACAATCTCGAAGAAGAAGCGACAGCTTATGCTTTGCTGTTTGGACTTCGCTGGCTTTGAATGATTTTGAATGTTGATGTTTGAGTACCTTACAGATGCTAGAAAAGATTAGAGAAAGGAGGGCATTTAAAGGGAAGAATAGATAGACCAGGACCAGAAAAGAGATTGGACAAGAAGAAACGTACTAGAATGATCCGGAAAGACGTTGGATGTCTTCCAACTTATCTGGGGGCAGCGGATGATGGAGTCGACGTGGCGACATGAACGCCTAGAATTAAGCTTGGTAGATTTTGGAGGGTCAGGAGAGGAAGGGGATTAAGATTCTATTGTCTGACGCGTAAAGTGGACCAACAATGAGTTGGCAGATGCGTGATCCGATTGAAGGTGACTTTCTGGACTGAGAAGGAACATGGAAGTGACCCGCACCAACCAGAACACGCGGGTACGTGTCCATCATGTTGTAGCCTTCGTGGGGATTCATAAATAGAGGATATCCTCCAACGAACTGGTTTGTTTTCAATATACAAGAATAATCCAATCGTCCAACTTATTGTTCAAGTAGTTGTGCGAAATTAAACCTTTAATTAAATGCAAACTTATAAGTTTGTGTAACGTGTGGACAGACTTTTATATTAACTCATAAATAAATTCTCAATCTCTAGCTTAGTTGGAACAAACCAAGCCCTAACGTTTGTTAAACTGAATGTAGATGAGAGAGCCAAGGGACACCCTGGTGACGCAGGGGCAAGTGACATCATCTGAGATAACATCGGAGACTAGATAGTGGGATTCATCCATAAAATTGGCATAATATTTTCTCTTAATGTTGAGTTATGGGTTTTATTCCAAGGATTAACACTGTGCTGAAGTAGAGGTTTTAGGGGGATTCAAGTTGAATCCGACTCTCTCCTCATTATGCAAAAATTGTCTGTGGTGAGTAATAATTTAGATCCGAATGTACAACTCCTATGAGAAATCTGTTGATTATTCTGCATTTTTATAGTGATTTGCAAGTGGTCAATTCAATGTATCATGTCAAAATTTTTTGCTTTCTTTGAAAATTAAGGGCATGGTTGATTTATGATGCATAATATATTCTTTTACAAACAGATGCAGTAGCTGCTATCTATAAACACGTACTCCTTGGGTGTTCAATTTTCCGTGGGCGGTGTTCATAGTATCTTGGTGCAGTTAAGTGTGTATGGAGGTGTAAGAGGGGAAAATAGTCCGAGAGGTTTTGTCTGCGCCTTTTACCTGTCCAGCTTTCCTGAGGTTTTCTGATGGATCCCTGGTTTGGGTCAATTGTAGGCTTTTGGTGTCTTTTGATTGCATTTTCTTGTGAATTGAGAACTTAAATGCTGCATGATGTTTTGTTTCTCAGTGCTTTGACCATGGCTATTTTTGGTAAGCTGGTCTTCTGGCAGTTTCTTGACTGAAAATTTCTCAGTTTGAGTACTGCTCATTTTGTATGTAAAGAGCTCTTGATGCAATGAATCTTCATTAATTTTCTTTTTAAAAAAATATTATATTATCGAATATCTCACATATCTCGTAAAGCAAATCATTGTATCGATTAGATAATTATACATCATGATCATTTATCTTTAAAATTTAATATTTTTGAATTTTTTTTATAAAATTATTTTTTATTTATTAGTTAATGCTATGAGAGCTGTTTGACCTAAAATAATGTAATAAGTTATCTTTTTTCATTATATATATATATATAAAAAACTTAATTCAAATTTATGGTTATCTAATTAGCACTAATCCAATAAAATATCTACACAAGGAACTGTGATGAGCTTAATGGACAGGCTGACCCATGGGGGTGATGGCTGGTGAGCAATTCAAGCTGAAATGGGGTTTTGCGGTTTGGATCCTTTCTTAGGCCCCTTAATTTATGAGGCATGTTGACTTCATTGCATGGCAAATTTGTTTTCTCTGATGAATCGCAAAGCCCAAATATTCACAACCGGGGAGGAAAATTGAATGGCATCATGGTACAAACCCTACTCGACTACAATAGCACGAAACAGCAAAAATCGGAGGAACACCCTATGAATTACACTATAAAGACAAAGCCACGACGACACCAAACGGCGAATTAGCACCCCCTTAATTTTCCATCCGCAAATCTCAAGACAGAGCGAATGAGTAAAGACTTTAGCCAACACAAGAATCAATTACCCCACTAGATGTACACCCTTCCTGATGCCATCTCATAACCCAACTTCATTCCATAATCCATACTTAGAAATTCAGGATGCTGCACTATATGTAGGAAGGCTAATACTCACATAAAAATGTTTAGAATTATCAAGATGTGAAGCAAGAATGACAGCTATAAGTGGCCAAATGCTAAAGAAAGTCTCAATGCTAAGCTACTTTTACAATCCTTATTCCCTTAACAGCTCTTATAAGGAATGTTATGATTTCAGAATTCCAAACAAAGTCCGAAATTCACATAATCAACAGGGTAAGCAAAAATCATTTAGAAATTGTAAACCTAAATCAACACAAAAACAAACAACAATATAGAGAGAAAAAGCAATTAAACCAAGCAAGATCTATCATGTAAACTCATAAAATGTAACTGAAATTCAGCTAATTAATGTCTCAAATAGATCTTACTTTTTTACCAAAAAGAAAAAAAGAAAAAAAAATTCCAAACAGGAAGATCTGCCTAATCATCAAACAAACCGAACCCTATGTCATCATCAGTCTCTTCCTTATCTTCTTCCTTTTTCTCCTCAATAGCAGGGGTTGAGGCGGCAGCACCACCAGCACCACTACCAACGGAAGCAGCAGCAACAGGGGCACCACCACCACCGGAACCAACATTCATGATGATATCATCGATATTCCGCTTTTCAAGAAGCTTGGCGAAAAGACTCGGCCAGTAAGATTCGACGGGCACCTTCGCTGTTTTCACCAATGTCACTATCTTCTCCGCCTACATCATATTATTAAAAATAAAAAAGAAAGAAAAATAATGGAGGAGAAGGTAATATTATGAGATAAAAAAAACATAAAGGAAATAAAAACTAGGATAAAAAATACTTAGTTGCAAGAGAATGAGAAGAAAAGTTTTTACCGTGATTGGAATTCCATCGTCATTAAGGATCAAAGCGGCGTAAGTGCAGGCAAGTTCACTGGTGGCCATTGTCGTACCCAAGATTTTCAATAGTAAGTGTTTGTTTAATCTGATTTTTTTTTTCAGTTTATTTATCTTTTAAAGATAAAAGTCAAATTAAATATAAATTTTAAAATTTTTTTAAAAAAATAATTTTTTTAAAAAATAGTTTAAAAAAAGCTACTATGAGGGTTTTTTTTTCTTCTTTTAAAAATTATTAGAAAATTTTTATTTTTGTTTAAAATATATCCTCATATATTAAAGATAATTACAATATTATCCTCTTAAAAAAATTCTTTATGATAATTTTAATCAAAATTATAATTTATAAAAAAAAACTTATAAAAAAAATTTACCAAATAATTTCAACTTAACTCTAAAAGTTATTATTTTTCTTAAAAACTTTATAATAGCTTTTAGATTAAAAAAAAACTAAGCCAAATAATCTCTAAATCTACACTATCAATAGAACGCTTGAGAAAAGAAAAGAATAAAACTATTTAAAGCGTTAGGGTTTGCTTTGCATTAAGACTCGATGATTTGGAGGATTTACAAGAGGCTTATGTGGATATATATACATGGATAATCCTTATCCTAATTATAGCTTTTGTATTTTTGTTGAGAGAGTCCATATGGCACAAATGAGATGTCATGTACCATGGATATATAAATAAGAGTTTGGTATGTATTTTTAGATGAAATATGTGGATCCGCAATAAGGGATATTTAAATTAATTCAAATCTTTATTAAATTGGGAGTCTATAAAAAATATTATGAAAAGTTTTGAATTTATAAATAAGGGTTTATTTTTATTTAACGGATATGTTTTTGGAATTGAAAACGTGAACTGATAACATGTATATGACCTTTATTAAAATTTTATTATGTTTAAGAATAAAATCTTAATTGCAGTAACAAGAATTCTCAAATTATGAAACAAACACAATTTAGTAAAAAATTGTTACTACATCATTATACAAATCCTCAATGAAAAATATACCTCAACAAAACAATAACATGGATATCCAAAATTTGAACATACTATATATTACAAAATAAACATCATCAGCAACGAACCAAATTAAAGTAAAACAGATTCTTAATGATGTGGCGCATAACATCAAGTATAAAGCCTAATATACGTTCATTAAAAATTAAGTACAAGCCTAATGGACATCCATTTAGCTGTGATTTAAGAACGATCGAGGAAAAAAGGCATCGACGGAAAAATGAATGCAACACATACCTTTGTATGTTCCAGAGAAGCGACCACTTAGTTCTATTACCAGAAAAACAAAAAATATAACAAATATTCTTAACTTAAGTATTACATGCACAAAAACAGAAGCAAATAAAAATCTCAATTTAGAAAGGAAAGCAACTCTACCCGCATATATAGATCTAATTTGAGGAATGTAATTATTCATAAATAAATTCTCAATCTTGACGTAGATAATCTAATAATCTAACAAGTAATTTTAATATTTAATATTTATAATTTATTTTATTTTATTTTGATTGGACGACAAATAAATATGGGTAGAATTTTACTTTTTTTGTTCTACAAGGAAGTTTATGGTAGAATAGTTTCTTATTTTAATTTACTTTACTTATACTTCAAGTTGAAGTTAAGTAGTATTACTTGTACTCAAAGTTTAAGTTAAGGAGTAGTAAACTATTATAAAAAGCACCCTTAGAATTAATTTTTATGAATTATTGAATGATATTATATTTTTTTTAAAATTTTGAGTGTAAGTTTCTACATTTGAAATTTGATTATCAATTTTAAAAGCTCTGTCAAGTGCTAATTTTTGTTTTCATGCTAAGTAACTGCATCAAATCTCTAATTTAATTCAAATTTATGGCCATCTAATTAGCACTAATCCAATAAAAATATTAGAACAAAGAAATTGTGATTGAGCTTAACGGACAGGCTGACCCATGAGGGTAATGAACTCTGAGGACTGGTGAGAAATTGGAGCTGCAATGGGGCTTTGCGGTTTGGGTCCTTTCTTAGGCCCCTTTGTTGGCAAATTTTATTTTTTCTCTCAAAAAATCGCAAAGCCCAAATATTTGCAACCAGGGAGGAAAATCGAATAGCATCATGATGCAAATCCTACTCTACTACAATAGCATGAAACAGCAAAAATCAACTTTTTCAATGTCTTTAATATCTAACTCAATCTCATTGAAATTGAAAGATGCAAGTTCACATAATTAATCTTAAATACAAATAAAGACATGTACAAGCGTAATAGCTAAAGAACTCCTATATATGTAAAGCACCTTACTTATGATACTAAAAGTTGATTCAACATAAACACATCATCAGCTATTTTAACAAAGATAGGAAACCTTTGATTATTGAATTTCCACTACACCAAAACGGTTAAAGTCATATATAATTTATAATTTTATATTAATATAAATTTATAAATAAATAAATAAAATTAATATTAAATTATTATAATTAAATTTTATATACATACATATAATAAATTAATATATTTTAAATATATTATTAATTAAGTTTACTATCAATTTTTTTAATATATAAAAAATATTATATATATTAATACATATATAATATAAAAATTAATTTCATTTTTTTAAATGAATTGATTCAAAAATTTTAAAACCAAGAATTGATTAAAAAACCAATTAGACAAAATATTTTAAACCAATTGACCTAATGGATCAATAAGACCAAATCATTTTACCCAAACACCAAAAATCATTTAGAAATCTATAACTATAAACCTAAATCAACACAAAAGCAAGCACTAATATAGAGGAAAAAAGAATTTAAACCTAACAAGATCCACCATGTAAACTTTTAAAAAGGTAAATGAAATTCAACTAACTAATGTCTCAAATGGATCTTAATTTTCCGCAAAGGGAAAGAAAAAAATTCCAAACCGAAAGATTTGCTTAGTCCATCGGCTTCGCTCATTGGGTGAAAGCTGTAATCTTCGCCTTCTGGCCATAAGAATCGCCCAAAGAGCTTCGACCAGTGTATTTAATAAAAACTAATCCAATAAAAGTATCCAAAGTAGTTTAGAATTAGTCCGTTTTCAACAAATCTAAAGTTAAATACCTTTAAGATTAGTTTTGAATTTTGACTAGTCCATCAGATGATCTCCAATTTCAAGCTCAATCCTGTTTGACTGAACCATGTAAAGGAACTAAACTCGACTCAAGCTACAGTTCAAACAAGACAATAACCTGAAAATGAGCTCTGTAAGAACAACAAGCTGAGACTGTGACTTTCACTCTATCAGTATTCTACAATGAGGAGAAACAGCATTATTATGATGAGCCTAATGGGCTGGCTGACCACCCATGCGGGTGATGAACATTGATGAATGATGAGCTTTTGCGGTTTGGTTCTTTTCTTAGGCCCTTTGGTTTATAAGGCATGTTCATATATGGCAAACCATACAATCTCTGATAAATTGCAAAGCCGAAATATTTACAAGCAGAGAGGAAAATGACATAACATCATGATAAAAATCATGCTACTAGCAGGAAACAGCAAAACTCAATCCCCACATTTCATTCACTGCAATCAGAGGAACACACTATGAATGACACTACAATACAAAGCCACAATGACAATACCAAATAAACACTCCAGGCTGAAACATGAGGTCACCCGCCCCTTTTCTCCATCTCTCATGGTGTTGCCATAAAGTTCTCTAATTAATGATCCCAAAACCAGAAATCAATATCCCACTAGATCCTCTATTTACACCCTGGTTGATGCCATCTCATCACACAACTTCATTCCAAACTCAAACAACCATTCAGGTAGACATAGAATCTGTGTCCTAGGATAGAGGAGGCAGCGCAAAACAACAAACATAGGAGTAAAACACAACATAAAAGTGCTTAGAATTTTCAAGATTTGCACAAGAATAACAACTATAACGGCCCAAATGCTTTACAGAGCATCAATGCTAAGCTACTTAACATTAGAATAGTCCACTTGCTAAACTGCACTAAACTGCTTTTCCACAAGCCTGAATTTTACAATTGATTCATCACAACCATTCCCATGCAATTACAAATCATGGGTAATGGGTTCCATGAGATTATCTTATTTTTATATCTTCCACTCTATTTTGCACCATTCATTCAAGACCAGTTACATTGGTGCTTGCAACATTCTAATATAAAAGCGTTTTCCTTAACTGTTATTACAAGGAATGTTATGAATTCAGAATTTCAAACAAAGGTGACAATTCATATTTCACGTTTCTAAACCTGAATCAACACAAAAACAATCAACAATATCGAGAGAAATAACAATTAAACCAAGCAAGATCCATCATGTGATATCTTCAATTTCCGAAAAAAAAAGTCATGTAAATTAAGAATTCTCAACACTTCAAACAAAATTCAACTAACATTTGAGATGGGTCCTAATTTTTCCGGCAAAAAAAAAAGGAAAAGAAAGTCCAAACTGGAAGATGTGCCTAATCAAACAAGCTGAATCCCATGTCATCATCACTCTCTTCCTTTGGTTCTTCCTTTTTCTCTTCAGCAGCAGGGGCAGCGGCGGCAGCACCGGCTCCGGCGCCAGAGGAAGCAGCCACAGCAACAGAGGCGCCACCACCACCAGAACCAACGTTCGTGATAAGATCATCGACGCTCTTCTTCTCAAGGAGCTTGGCGAAAAGACTTGGCCAGTAAGAATCGACGCCAACGTTCGCCTTCTTCACCAGAGCCGTTATCTTCTCCGCCTACATCATATTATTAAAAATAAATAAAGAGAGAGAGAAAAGAGAGCAGCAGATGATATACTGATAAAATAGAAAACAAGAAGGAAATATTAATAAAGATTGAAATAGTTAGTCAGAGATTGAAAGCGAGTGGATTTACGGTGATTGAGATTCCATCGTCGTGGAGGATCAAAGCAGCGTAAGTGCAGGCGAGTTCACTGGTGGCCATTCTACCCAAGATTTTCAACTGTAAATCTGAGAGATCGATATAAATAGTATATTCTTAAGCAATCCATTAAACGAAATGGAAACTAAACGATGAGAGAAGATAGATTTAGAGCGAAATGAGGGTTACATACCCGAAGCGCTAGGGTTTGCTTGGCGTTGCTACGGAGCAGGCGTCGAGAGTTTAAGGTTTGCCGGATGTAGACAAGGCGCACAATATCATATATATATATATATAGATATAGAGAGAGAGAGAGGGAGAGAGAGAGGGAGGGAGAGACAGATAATCCTAATGCTGAGACGTCTAGGGTTTTGGTTGAGAAAGTACTGGGCTTTGATTATGTTCTGGGCCAGCAGCTTTCTTTGGAAGTTTCCATGGCTGAAATTGCTGGCCCACATATTCACTTATCACTAAAAACATGTCTTAGAAACTACAATCCATCGATGGCGTCTTGCAGTTACATGTATATGGGTAATTAACTTATTAAGTAAAATTTGAATCTCTCTTTACTTTAAAATATATATATATATATATATTGGAACGTTTCAAATAAACTAAAAGTTTAATAAAATTTGCCAACAATTCATTGGTAATGGATGGGATCAAATTTTCTTTCGATGTCAATATTATCCTCAACGTTTGATGGTTTTGTTCGTGCTTTCATACCTTAATGGCAGTCGCATGATCCAATGGATGATCAACAAAATATGGATCGCATCCTTTGTTCATTTAACTTTTATCCCAAATTATACTACCTTCCCATTTTGTATGTTAACAAAATAAAGTAATAAAAGTAACAGCCAAATTAAACCTGAGGCAAGCTGTTCGTGAATATAATTATAAATTAATAACCAAAGAAAACACCAACAAAGTGCAGTCTTACACGATTGCTAAAGGGTCAGAAGACCGAGCAAGATCAGTAAATTAAAATTTTAAAGAAAAATGCTATACTATCAAAATGAGAAAATGATTAAGCTCAGTTCATCCACCAGTGTACTCAAATTAACGCGTCACTACCAACAAACACAGCTAATCCCAAGGTTGTCCCCAAAGACAATATCCGGTAATATTCTGCTCAGACATGCAACAAAACTTTCCCCGTAAACTCCATTCATGCAAGCACCGCTGGACTTCTTACTTTTACCGTATGAGCATCAGTGGCTAACCGAGCGTGCCTGAAAAGATAATCAGCCACATAAATAAGATTAACCAGAGTGACCTTCAAACTTGCCATCTGAAAAAAAGTCTAGTTGCATTTTATGTTTAATCACATTCATGCATCATCTTCCATATTTTGTCCAGCAACACAAAGATTATGGGATGTGTATGGAACAAAGTATCATTATCCCAACATTAAGGTGCCAGTTTGCCAGTCAACCTTATCTGCCTTACAAATATCAGACATCAGAATTAACCTACCTTATCCGGTGATGCTGACCTTGACCTTGACCTTGATCTTGATCTTGCTCTGAATCAATGAACAGAAAAAGGGTTTCCTTAAAGGTAAGGAATACAGCGAAACAGGATAACAAGGCAAAGAAACAACAGCATATTGAGCCCAATTACCTGGATAACTTAACAGGAGATGCAGATCTAGACTTAACTGGTGATTTGGATAGAGATCGTTCCCGTGATTTACTGCATATGAGAAAGAAAAAGGGTGGGAAAAAGGTAGGAAGTTTAAAATGCATTTAATTATTTTTTAAAGAAAAAAGACGAAAACGATTGAAAAGAGAAGATAAAAGGGTTTATACCTCTGGTCTCTTCTAATGCTCCGGCTTCTGCTGCGGCTTCTACTTCGACTCCTGGATGGACTGCCCTCATATCTCTTCACCTATCCAAAAGAATGAACAAATAAACACCGTAGGCTTATCAAAAAGATACTCAATTTTGAAAATTCCAGAATGTAGACATAACAAAAGGAAAAAAATCCACAAATAATGCTGTGGATCCACATATCCAAGATAGTGAGGGTCACAGTGCCAGAAATCTTTTGCAAATGTAACTGGTGAGAATTTTCAGAGAGAGTAAGGTTCCAAGGAGAAACAGAGGGTATGGAATAAATAGATAAAAGGGAAAGATAGAGGGATGGCCAGACCATATTGATTCACGTGTTTACTTGACATCAACAATGCATAGATAGGATTTATAATTTTGCAATTCAAAAAAATTCAAAATGTCCATGGATCCAACCGCATAGAAATAGTCCTTGTTCATAAAATTCTACAGGCCTAACACTTAACAATTTAAAAACAATGAGGATGAGCATGCAGCAACAACAGTAAATAATAACAAAATCCTTATAATAATAATAGAAGTAACAAAAGAATGATGCAGAGGCAGGTTACCCGAATATAAGCTCTTGCCCAGGGATTTCTAAACTCAGTATCATCAAGTTTACGGATCTGCATAATGTTAGAACATGTCAGTTAGATTATAAGCGTTAAAGAAGCACAAATTCATGGCAAGGAGGTAGTTGAATTTCTTTTTAAACCACTTACAGCATATTTCATGTCATCATAATTGGTATAATCAACAACACCAAAAGTCCCTGAATGAACAGAGAGAGGCAATAAATGAAAACTTATTCAAAATCATGAAGGCCTAAGAACTAAGCCCATTCAGTTGAAAAACCAAGAAGACACAATAACTAATTCAATGCATTCAAAAAAAGAAGGGAACAACTAGTAAAACAATCAGAATTAGATGCATATAACAGGAAAGTAGTTGAGCAAGAACAACTGATCTTATAATTCTAAACATTGCCAGTTTGAACATCCATCGTTACAAGTCTGCCCCACATAGGAATATCAAATTGCAAAATTTCAGAGCTAATAGAGTTAAAACAAGGCAAGATTTGACATGGGAGCATCAATCGAAAGAAAACAAGAAAAAGAAAAAACCGAGGGAGCGGCAAGGAGATAAGGTAAACTACGAAGTGTAAAAGCTTGTTAATATGAATTATTAGGTCATACCATCACTGTCGCGCGAAATTTCAGCAAAACACACATCGCCAGCTTTTCGCATGTGATCCTAAAAAGAATTTACCAATAGGTAAAAATTACAGCAGAACTAAGAAAGCCTCAAATTTGTTTTCAGTTTTGGAAGTTCTCAAACCTTCAAATCTTGCCAGGAAGCAGAAGAAGGGAGCCCACGAACAATAACTGTAGGGCCAACAAAATGTTTGTACAACAGAATCATATATTAGCTCAAATTGAACCAGATAGATAACTACAGGCATGACACAGTTCCACCACTAGACGGACCTCGATATTCAGAATGGCGTGAGATGCCAAACTTAGCTGCACCCCCACCGTACCCACCCCGACGATCACTGGAGGATTGTCCTCTACCACCATGAGCAAGCTCAACCTACACCATTTACAATGAAACTCCATTCAGGAAAAAATGTATATATCGACAGAATACACAAGAAAACAACAAGAGCCTCTTATTACCCTCAAACGACAACCATCAAAGTCATAACCATCTCGACCCCTGATTGCATCTTCAGCATCCCGGGAATTCTCAAACTACGGAGCAAACACAATTTAGTAAGAAATTGTTACTTTTTATTTACGCATCCTCACTGACAAATAAGATGAGAAATATACCTCAACAAAACAATAACATGGAGGACGTGGTGGAATCTTCAATTCGATATCCAAAATACGACCATACTATATAAGAGAAACAAATGTTACTAGACAACTATTATCAACCAAAGTAAATAGATGCTGAGCCAAATGTAAGACCAAAAGTAAATAGATTTTTCAAATACATTAATGCTGTGATATATAAATCAAGGAGAATTCTAATAAAATCAAGCACAAGTCCAAAGTACATATATTAATGCTGTGATTCAAAACAACTGACAAAAAGGTTATATTTATTCTTTAATATAAAAAAAGGCATTGTGAAAAAGTAAATTCAACGCATACCTTGTAGAACAGATCTTCAACCTCCCATTCTCTAATATCAGAGGGTAGGTTGCCAACGTAGATTGTGCGAGAGAAGTGACCACTCATTTGCAATACCAGAAAAAAATGACAAATATCTCACTGCACACACAAAAACAGAACTAAATAAATAAAGAAACAAAAATCCCAATTTGAAAAATCATGAAACTCTATCCACACACATATCCCATTATCATCAGCATCTACTCTGACAATAACGAAAACTATTGCAAAATCAAAACCATGAAGCAAACCAACAGAGCAATTCCTCCAATTGTGAGCGGTACTCCACAAGCTCCATTGCTCATTTGCTCCAAAGATGCTCCAACAAGCTATTACAAAATTTGAAATTTAATTTGGTCTCCTCATCCTCCCATGAACATTTTGCCAGAGCTTCAGAAAGTAGCAACAACAATCTCCAATTATAAAAAAAACCAATACCCAAAACTCCACCCTGATTCTCCCACTCCCTTTCTATACCCACTATGTATCATTGCAAAGCTCTTATTTGTCCAAGCGCTTGTCATCTATCATAAACAAAGCATGCGTGTCACCAGATGAGGTAAGATTTTCAGACACATTATTTCATTTACCTTACTCATCTCTCTTTCTTAATTACATTGAAGAAAAACAATCCCCTGGAAAATACATTAACATTTCCCAGTTTTTCCCCTTCTTTTTGACTACAAAATTGAAAGTAGCTTCCGATTTATTAACCCAATCCCGAATTATTGGCGAGTGATTTAACAGATTATGACAATAAAAATAACAACAAAAACTACGATTCAAAAAAAAAATCTGGTAAAAATATAAGCAATGGAAAGCCAACGACATTGTACCGAAGAATTGAGAGCTGGGAGGAGTGGAGCGGACCCGACGAGAGTAAATTAACGTCTCTTGGTCTAGGCGGAGTAAAACCGGAGCTTGATTGAGCTTCGTGCTCGAACCTGGTCAAATCTGCCTAGCTGTCTGGCTAGGGTTCGTTCTCTTCTTCCTACTCAAAATCTAAAATTCGAGTCCGCGAATCATATGGTGGGTTTAGCTAAAGCCCATTCGACTTGCTTTTTAGTTGCAGAGCCCTGACCCAACCTCGTCCAACTAAGGAATCCGGGTTGTACGTTTTAAATGGCACGCAACCAACGATGTCGTTTTGTAAAACAAAATAAAATAGCTCAAGTTTATATTCTCTTCCAACGTCGAGCGGACTCGAACTAGGGTTTTCACTTTTCACTCGCAGTCTGCAACTTACATTAAAAGAGAGCCAAAAAAAAAACAAAAATCAGCTATCCGGCGGGTTTGATCCCGGGATCTCTCTCTCTCTCTCTCTCTCTCTCTCTCTCTCATCCTTAACGGCCTTTCAAAGTCACATCGTATTTCCCTCCAAATCTTCATTCTCCACAGCCAATCAAACAACTTCCCTTCGTTCCCTGTGTCAAGTCATCGACTTTTTCTTCCTCTTCTCCAAACAATTAAAAAAAAATCTGAAAAGAAGATACGTTTCTTTTGTTGGGTTAACAGAGCACAGCAATGGCTTCGCGATTCCAGGCGGCAACGCTGGTGGCTTCACCATCATACCCGAACTCCATCGCCTGGTCCGACGAGAACCTAATTGCCGTTGCGTCCGGTCACATCGTCACCATTCTGGTAAGCCAGTGTCATTTTTTTTCTTTGTGCTTGTTATATAAGTTGCTATGTTGATTTTTCTTTCAAAACCTTACGATTTCAAGAATCTTTAGTGGATTCGTTTTGGCCGTTAGAAAGTTGGAATTTTGATCCATGGAATTCTAGTGAATTTCATTTTCTTTTTTTGTTTTGTTGACGACAACTTTCTAACCAAAGAAGGAAAAAAAAATTACTTTCGTGTGTGCTGCAGAAACACTGTTTTATTGCTAAGAATTGAGACTGATGCAAGACAATCTTTTTCCTTTTCAAAAACTTTGCAATTAATTCTTTTCTCAGAATCCGGCATTGCCCTTTGGACCTCGAGGTCTGGTCACTGTTCCCAAGAGTGAACCTTACCCCATTGGAGTGGTAAAAAAAGAAGGTACATTCGTATTACGGTTTCTAGAATTCTGATCACAGTGTGGTTCAATTGTTCTTTAGTTTAATTAGTTTTATAAACCTCAAAAGATTGAGGTATTTAAATCATTGTTTTATGCAAAATTGGTTTGGATTTGACCATTTACATTACCTATAATTCAACTTGGTGTCTCTGCAGATCTATTATCTGGTTGTTTGTTGCCCACCACTTTAAGTCGGGAGCCTCGTCCCTGCGTTCGATCAATTTCATGGTCTAATCTTGGAATGGCTCCAAACTCTGGGTAAGAACTTGAAAGATATCGTTACATTATCCCCTTGTTTTCTGCACTGGATATCAGTACTTTCGCAAAATTGCTCCAATAAAATGTAAATCCATATAGGTGCTTACTGGCTGTGTGCACCACAGAAGGACATGTAAAGCTTTATTGCCCTCCCTTTCGTGATTTCTGTGCTGAGTGGATAGAGGTATGTACGTCTGTTTGGTCTGAATGTAGCAAGTTGTAGATGGTTTTACCCAAGAAATATTTGAAGCCACTGTAGTGCAGAAGATCCTCAAATGCCTTAGTAGTTCATTTGAGAAATGTAGTGAGTAATATAACAAAATCAGAGATGAAATGTAGTTTTGTTTTAAGCAGATCCTATATAAGTTGATATGGTGGAGATTAACACCTCATAGATATAGATGATACGAAGAGGAACTTGTTAAACTGTGATTTGTATTTTTCCTGTGGCTTACTGTTAATGACTTGCTCTTCTTCAAATTTTCTGTAGGTTTTGGATATAACAGATAGCCTTTATGATTATCTTGCAAGTATTAGTTTTAAGGAACCAAACATTCCTCCCACCGAAATGTCTAATGTAAGTCCTTTCATCTACAATGAACCAAGCTACCTCATGTACTCATATAAATAATTTTTTATTATGTTTATTTGTTCAGTCAACCTTGACAAGCTTTTGTCTTCTTTTCCTAGGAGCAAGTATCAGACCATCCAGCAGACTCTGTTTCAGGAAAGGAGCGCAAGCGAAGAAGGGTGAATACTTCTGGCATTAGGTAACATTCATTCCTCTTGTGTGAACCTACAAATGACAAAAATTTGATCCCCATGAGGCCCAAGGATGCTACGAAAATTAAAGCAATGAAACTAGTAGAACCCTATAACCAAAAGATGTTTACCAAAATGAAGAAAAAGATCAGGAGGAGTAGGACTTGGCTGTGATCAGACTGAAAAGAATATCCAGCAAAACCCAAAATTGAATTTATTACATATTAATGGGTTCTTGTGGTTGTTCTAAGCTTAGCCTTTCTGAGACTTTTGTTACTGCATGAAGCATCCTTGTATCAAATAATTTGGAACGCTTAACTTATTTTTTTTAGATGATTGTGGTGCAGGAACTTTGGCTTAGAAACTTCCTGTGACCAAACACCATGTTATAAAGACAGCAAGGATGTTAATGCTGGCTCCAGCCCTTCCTCTGAAGCGAAGGGACAGGGTCCTTGCAAGGTCTGGTTTTCATTACATCGTGCTTAGTAAGTTGTTCACTATAAATTTGAAAACTAGCTTGCTTCTGGTTTGGTCAAAAAACCAGCGAGACCTTATCTCTGCTATTTGTGACTTAATTTCTAGGTGCTGAGCACTAAATCTGGCAGGCAAATAGGTAAAAGTTCACATCAGACAGTTCCCGCAATCAAATCTAAAGGAAAATTTGCCAAGAAAATGCATGAAATTTGTAGCCTACCTTTGATAACAGCAGATCAATATGCTTCACATAGTGCAATGCTATCATCACTTGTCGTTGCCTGGTCTCCAATGCTCAAATTATCATCTGACATGTGTCTGGTTCCTGAAAATAATTCATCCAACTGGTTCTCTCTGCTGGCTGTTGGTGCAAAGTCTGGTAAAATTTCATTCTGGAGAATTCATGCACCAGAATACTACTCTATTGAGCAGAGTGGGGCCCCTACTGCTGTGGAGCTCATTGGAATCCTTCAGGTACATAATTCCTGGGTCACCGCTATAAGTTGGGCCTTGCTTGCTTCTGATTCTTCAAATCCTCAAGTTTTATTAGCTACTGGGAGTTCTGATGGGAGGTGAGTTAGGTATGCTGTTATATGGTTTCAGATTTTAAATAACTTTGTTATTGAAATTTCTTCTATTGATGGGCATCAGAGATGTTCCTAGGTCTACATCTTTCCTACTATATAAGTCAAATGCTCTCATGGTGTTAGGAAAAACTTTTCTTCTTTTATGTATGTTTTTTGTCTTATGAGTTACATGAGACTTGCAATGAAGAAATGAATCAGATTTACAGAAACCTTTTCTTATGACTGAAAGTTGAAACTATAGTTAATCAATTAAGATATCTTATTCTGCTGAAAATTCAACCCTCCCAGAGTAAGCTCTTTAGTGATGGGATACAAACAACATTGATGGATTTTTCTTATGATGCATTGTAATGTTTTTACTAAGATAAAGTTTCTTATGATACCAATTGTAACCTAGAAATCTGCTGCATACCTTCTGACAATGGAAGGTGCTGACTTCTCTTCTGGACTTAACTTTGTAAATCTTATCCATTTTATCCATCCCGAGAATCTAAAAGTTTGTTTTTCTACTTCTTCTGCACTTGTTTTGTTCTTCTCTTCAACAGTGTGAGGATCTGGATAGGGCATGGGGAAGAATTGTTAAAGTCATTTGAAGTTAATAATGCTCCATTTTATTTATTGAACGAGGTAATAAAACTCCTCTTTTTCCTCTGTTGAAGGTGGTAGCTCTTACTACTTTTGTCAGTTTTATCTTCTTATTGGTTTGTAGTAGTCAATAAAATCTATTCTGACTCGTAAATCTCTGAATAGATTATAAATATTAATGCTGTCCCAGTCTCGGTGCTTTCACTTATGCCCAGTCAGTCGCTTCATAAAATTCTCCTGGCTGTTGGCAAAGGATCTGGAGCTTTTGAAGTATGGATAGGAGACATATCTGTGAAAAAGTTTAATAGAGCTGGCTCATATGATGCCCATGACCAAGTTGTAAGCTTCTGCTTTTTGTTCATTCTCTTTTTTTGCTGCATCTCACCATTTGATTTATCTGTGACAAAATGTCTTCAGGTTACTGGTTTAGCTTGGGCTTTTGATGGATGCTTTTTGTACAGCTGCAGCCAGGTATAAACTTTGCAAAGTTCTGCTGCTTCATCTTTACTATTATTTAGTTGATATCTTGTTAATTTTTTTATATTTCTAATTTTCATGTACAGAGATTAGAGGGGTATCTACTGTTGACTTTTTTAAAATTAAATCAATTCATCCATCCCTTTATCTGAACTGTTAAGTCAATTATGTTGCCTTATATCTTTGCTGTCTAGACATACTTGTCTTAAAGATAAATGTCTCTAGCAGACACTACATACTTGCAAGTTGCTTACAGTTAGCACCAAGGGATACATTTAACTAAGTAGGTTAAAAAGTTTAACAAGATCATTTAGGCCCTATTAACATACCAATTCTCTGTTGTCTCATCCTATGCTTTCCATTTGTCTTTTACAATGGAAGAATTGTAGAATGCGAGAAGGAGGTATTGTAAGCCATGAACGTGTTCATGCCTTGCCATTATCTCTGCTACCATTTTATGGCAATACATTACACACTTCTCTTCTATACAAGTTTCACTGCCATGGACAGTTGTGTATTTTTCACTAATTTATTGATTTAGATATTTTACCACATACTACTCCTTAGTCATTGTTCCAAGTCTTTTGCTGGCAAAAGGTGGAAATTGCTGGTTGAAATTCTGGTACTGGCATACAAGTTATAATTTGTCATATGCATATACTCTTGAGTTGCAGGTATATAAGATAAAATGTAATGCTATGAGTTGCTTTGTACTGGATAAGTTAATTTACATATTTGTCTTGTTTCATTACTTATTTATTAATTAACTATGTGAATGATATTAGGATAATTTTGTTCGTAGCTGGAGTTTACGTGGGA